TTAAAACTTCATGTATTTTTCAGCAAAAAAAGTAAGAATATGGAATGTCTTTAAATTTAAGTTTGTCATTCCAACTGCAAAATGTTTCGGAGATATATATATAAATAAGCTTGACTTGTTTGTCAGTAAGTATAAGGTAAGATCAACTATCCGACGAACTCTCCAAGTCTATGTTACTGATTTTGTTAGTAAATCTTCAAAAGTTATTATAACTATTGAAACTATTTTTCAACCAACCTTTCAAATATATAGCTTTGAACGTAAACAAATTGTTGATTACCTTGAAGGCCTTAATGAAATAGTCGCTAAAGCGTTCAATTAAAGAAAAATCAGATGCCTAATAACCTTATAGCTTTCAAATTACCGTCTTGTTTTATACCATTTATTATGGTTAAGGTCCATATATTACATCGTATAGAATATATATATATATTATCTTGGGTGAAATGACTCGTTTTCTACGTAAAATAAATGTGAATCCCAGCAGTAATTTCGTTACTGTTGGTATTTTTGTTTAGTTTTTGTGATTCTCATGTTATTATGAATCATGTAACAAACAAAGCCATGGACTCACAAGCAACATGGTGCATAAATAGTTTAGAAAAACATGTTTAAAATCTGATGGGATATCGATAATTCTAGGAATGTGATGGGATATGGACTTCTAGGAATATGATAACTGGGTCCTATCGGGATCTACAAACAGTTGTATGTATATGTACCACAAATTAGTAATATCAGTCACATCTTTTTGTTTGTTTGTTTTGAATTTATGCACAAAGCTACACAAAGGGCTATCTGTGCTCTGCCCACCACGGGTAACGAAACCCGGTTTCTAGCGTTGTAAGTCCGCAGACATACCGCTGTGAAACTGGGGGGGGGCATTTCTTTTTTCTTTTTATACACGTTAATGAAATTTATATATCTGTTTATTACAACAAGTTAGCTGCATGATTTTGCGGAAAACTCTCCCACTGAGAGGTACATGTAGTAGACAATCTAATTTATCCATTGAGCGTGTACAGAATTCTCTCGTTACATTAACAAATTAAGTAAAAAATGCGAAGTATACAAATAGGATTGTTTGTTTGTTGTTTTAAATTTCGCGCAAAGCTACACGAGTGTAAGACAGCTAGTCATCACCACCCACGGCCAACTCTTGGGCTACTCTTTT